CTTTTCAAGTAGAAGATTACTTCTTCTTTCTTCAAGAATTCTCCCAGTAGTGGAAAAATTCCGCTCACAGCTTGCACTTGAAGCAGGAATTGCCTATACCCGTTTTGCCAATTTTGCTAAAATTGGAAATTCGTTGATGAGCCGCCCACCACTCTAACAAATTATCCACCTTAAATGTTTCATCTATTTTTTTATTTATGTAATTGTAATATTCATCATCGGGTATTGACATATTACCAGAATTACCATCGCCCCATTTGTCATAAAACGATTCAGTTTGTTTAACAACAATGGTAATTTGACTGGTCGATGGTATTTTATTTACTTCCTGAGCCTCTTGTAATTTAATATAATCTTTTATATAGTTTTCCGTCATCTTGCGATCTGTCCCTGACAACATACGTAATTGTTTGAATTTGGGACAGAGAAAAAGAGAAATTCAATTAAAAAATGCTTTATATTAAGTAAAATCAATTTTATTTCTCCTTTTTCGCTTTGAAAGGTATTACAAACCTCAAGAAGTGATATTCCTTTATTTGATTGTTTTGGTAAAATATATTCTAAAAATTTAAATATGAATTATAAAAAAATATATTAATAATACTTGAATATTGGGCTTATTTAAGATATTCCTTTATTTGATGTTTTGGTAAAATATGTTGTAAAAATTTAGATATGAATTATAAAATAATATATTAATACTTTGAATAAATTTTCAGGAAATTAATAATTAGATCGATTAGTGGGTGTTAGGTAGTGTTAACCATCACCCAATATTATATTAATCATAACTATAAATAATATAATCTTATAACCATTAACTCATAATGTAAAAATTTTTATAAAAAATATTAAGGCCCGGCCCGGCACGGGTTTAACAACCTTAGGCCCGGCCCGTATATTTTAAAAAAAATTTTTAGGGCCGGGCCGGGTTTAGGGTCGGGCCTGCAGGTCTCTGATATAGATACGAATAAGGTAATTTCATTGAAAAATTTATTTGGTATATTTAAATTAAAAATAGACAATGATTCCAAAGTATTATGTATAATGTGTGTATATAATTTTTTTAAAATTATTTTTGAATAAAACGCCATATAATGATCGCGTTTATTATTTAAACATAAATACACCTTGCATTTACTATATAAGACTCTAAAATATGTGTTTGCTAACCTTTGTTTTCCTGTTGAGGATGGTAAATGTCTTATCTGAACATATCTTATGTCTGATATTCGTGCTATGTTAACAGTCTTTTTTGAATTGTCCATTTCTGCCAACATCCGTCCTCTCGCTCTTAATTTAACCATCTATCACTAATATGTCCTGATATAGCAGGAATCGAAATCCATAATTAATGGGATTTTTTACAAAATTTGTCATTTGAAATAGCGATTAGCTTAACAAGAAAATTAATGAATCGGATTTATACTATTCTTATAAATTCACGAAATAAATATTTTTTCATAAAAACTCACACATTAAATTAATTAAGATAAGTATCTAAAATTTTATCAGTTAAAGTACAAATATATAAGCATTATCAAAAAATAATTTATCATAATTAAAGATTTAATTGTATTTTATCAATAAATCAACTTTTGGCAATATAGTAAATTTTATAAGTCGGGGCTTTACCTTTAGATTATCTAGCAAAAGGGTTTATTTTTCGACAAAATGTATTATGCAAAGAGTATTGGAGTATATTGACTTTATCGATGAGTCAATATGTAAAATTCTTTATTACTACTTTAAGACACTATATATTATTATTTAAAAGATTATATCAATTTATCTTTAAAAATATAATCATTAAAACAAGGAGTTAAGAAGCCCTTTTCAGCTATCTGTTACTGTATCTATATTGTTCCCAAATGGTTTTTATTTTTTTGAGATGACCCCTTGTGTCAGTCATATATCCTAATTATGCTAAATTTTTTGTAATAATTTATCACAAAGATAATTAATTATATTTTATTTATTAATTTTATTAGGGTTTAAAATATTGATTTTTTGGATAAATAAAATTAAAATATTTTTTCTCTGAAGCCGTCAAAAATTTACCGCCCAGCTTGGGGCTTTATCTAGTTTGATAAATTTTTAATTTATTAATAACTAATTTTTAAATGAATCTAAATTTTCGTTATAAAATTTTCTTAGTTTCTTGGTACTTTGATGTAATATTATAATATGAATATGAATAGTAAATTTTTGATTTGCTTAAAAAATTTAATGCCAATAGTTCATTATTCGCTTTGTATTCGTTTTTTTATAGGATTAATTCTATAAAAATATCATTCGATGAAAGATGGGAGTGATTATGTGTCAGCAATTATCCTGATGATGAAACATTTGTTAGTTCATAAGAATGAATTCAAAAATATTCAGTACACCAATTGGGATACTTCTAGGATGTGAAGGAAGGAATTCTTTTAAATGTTTATAGGATTCAATGTGCTCCCCATAATTCTCTAACCTAGCACTTAAAAAGATTACTGACAATTCTTGACATAATAATACCCATATTTATTAATTAAAAAGCTAAGAAATCCCAGTTTTAATTTCCAAAATTTTTAAATTTGGATTGTCTTTTACACTTTTTTTTGCCTATAATATGCTTGTTTTACTGGAAGATTTTTCGTAAGATTAAACAAATCAAAATTATGATTAAATAATCGATGAATGAAGTGAGGCATCATAGAAATAATGTGTCATTCTTTGTGTCCTGTATTTGGATCTTATACACAATATGGGAGGCGTGGCTCGAAAAATATTAATGTTACATTTATTTCCTATTCTTCATTTTTTTTTTACCGGATTAAATATTACAATTTTAAAATGAATTTCAAAAGATTTAAAAAGTTTAAATAAAAATGGATGTGTGAAATATTTATTACATTTTCATAACATATTTTGTAATAAACCGAGTTAAATATATATATCATTTAAATTATCAAAGTTATATCTGAATATTTAAATTTAATGTATAAAATAAATATTTTGAGTTTAATTCCCTATAAATATTTTTTTTTTAAATCGAGCCCCGCGCGATTCTATTGAACCAGACCCGACTTGAAATTTTTACGGAAAGGGAACTAACTTTTTTGCAAGATCAGTGTAAATCTGGCTTTAATATAAATGGTACCCATATTCACTCTTGATTTTCAGTTCTCAGTTTTTTCCGGAAAATTATAATATTCCTATTAAATTAGTGTTGTTAAACTACCTATTTTAGTCAACTATAAAACAGCGCAGCCATATTTTTACCCAGAAATATTCTAGTCAATCTTCAAGTTGACACTCAATATAGACTTAATTAAATATTTTAGTCTAAAGGCCTGAATAAGACACAATAGAGATGGTCAAAGTTATGTAATTTAACAACACTATATTAAATAAATCTCTTTTTTTCTCATCAAGATATATTATTGATTCAAACAAACATTTCCAGGTTAATAAACAATAAATCATTTAGGTCAGATAGGGAGGGACAAGAAGATGCATATCACCTTATAGAATATAAATTAGCACCTCCTAAAATTCAATTTTTGAGCATTACCCTTTAGTTTGCTTAAAAAAAATTTATATGAATTTTAAGTTGCTATATAACATTTATTATCATTTTTATGAGCAACCTATAATTAAAAACAAAACAGCTTTCAAGACCCCCCCCCCTCCCTAATTTTAATAAGATCATTTTTTAAATTTCACTAAAATATTCAAGAAAATTATTCCTATCAAAAATTTTTTTACATCTTTCCCTAAAATCAATCTAAGCCTGCATCTTAATGCATATCTTAACATTATAACTGCGATATCGCTATGCCAATAATATAACTACTAAAATAATCTGGAAATATTTAAAAAAAATAAGTTAAATTATACAATATAAGGTTATACCATCATATTGAAAATAATAGAAACTTAATTTTTCAAATTGCCTTCCTATAAAATTACAAAAAGTGGAGATGGAATTATCTAATTCTCAGGCTACAATAGGTAAAACCCTATTATATTTTCAAAAATGTAACGATTCCTTGGAATTGTGAATAAGTGACTAGAAAATATTAAATTGACTTAATTTTTTATAAAAAATTTGTTTAATTTATATTTTTCAGTCAAAAACTTCGGGCAGAATAATAAGTTCTAAAACTTTTCCTATATCCCCCTAACCGCATGTCGGCGAATATAATAAAAAATGATAGTGTCAAATTAATCGGCACATATCATATTGGCTACTCCATAAAGTCGACTGACCGTTAAAGCATCCCGTATTTAAATTTATCTTTTATATATCACAAGTGTAATTATAATCCCTTTAAAAATAATGTATTTTTTGACAGTATAATTAAATAATAAAAATTATTGAATAAAATGTGTTAGTTAGTTTAATGTAATCAGATATCCAGGAACGTTTCGGAATGGAAGATAAAAATGCTTTTGTTCCAAGTCCATGGTTTAAACATAAATTTTTATAAACTCCTTTTATCTTGCGAGATGTACTTTGATTGTATCATAATAAGCTTAATTAACTAAAAATAAATAAATCTTTATTTTATGATTCTGCTTCCTTATCATAATTTTCTAAAAAATAATTATACAATCTTTTCCAAGACTGCAAGCTAAACAAACATTTAAAAGTCTAATAAATCTTTGCAATTTCAATCATTACTTCTTATTTTAATTAAAATATTTATATTTTATCTTTCTATCATTGAATAAAATGATTTTTAAAAACCACCAATACATTAAAAATTCTCCTGAATTTATACAACTATAATGACAGTTTTCTTTAATCTAGAAGAAAAAATATATACGATATAAAGAAATTTTAAGCTCTGACCGTGTGTGTTATACAGAATTCATAAGCTTTTTTTATTATAAATCTATGATATATAATATATTATTCTTTTTTTTAGATAATAATTTTTATTTTTTATAATTTATGTAATGACGAGGGCAAACAATTTTTCTAAAAATACTTAAAGCATATCATAAACTGATGATGTTATACTTCTAAACATATAAAAGCGTTAAATTATCTTTTATATAGCAAAAAAAATAAATATAAAATTGAGCATAAACTTAAAAAAAACTGACAAATGAAAAATAAAATGAAACATTATAAATAATAACAATAATAATGAATAATCCCCGAACGACACAGTGAGATAAGAGAGAAGTAATAAATAATGCATTAAGATCATTGAGGACATAAAGAGCATTAGCGACGATTTTGGTTTTATAAATATATAATAATAGTTATATTATTTACAATATCTCAGCATATTTTTTGCCGCGCATGAAATAGGCAACAAATAAAATAAATCTAGCATTAAAAAAAATCTAGATTCATATTCCAAAATAAATAAAAATCGGGAGAATCTTGAGTGATTCATTTCATTTGGTAGGTTGATGTCCGGCTCGAATTGGTTTGGCTAAATGATATTTATAATAAAGTCAAAAAATATTTTAAGATTAATTTTTCTCAAAAACTAAAATAAGAGAAAGTTTCAAAGTAGTGTTGTTAAACGCCTCGTTTCGCCGATTTCAAATTAAGATTTTAGCCATTATATTATACAAACCTCGAGATTTCGATAATAAATGTCCAAACCTTTCCTGCCAACTGTGAGACAGGCTTGTGTAATATTTTTTGGCTAAAATATTGGGTTAGCCTTATTTAAAAATGGAGTCATTGAACAACACTATTTCAAAGGCATTATGTTTTCAATAGTGGATCATCTCAATTTTGTCTCAGGGTACCCGAAAACTCAACAAGGCTAAAAGTATATGATTAAAATGGATTAGCCACTGATGAGATGGTTTTATTACAGATACTTAATACTGTATATAATAAATTAGTTTCATGCATTGAATAGATACACTTGATATATTCCTAAATGCCTCACTGTGAAACTCAGATTTCTATAAAGTATGAATGAAACAACACTAATACTGAATTTTTACGGGTGAGGTTTAAATAATTTTATATAGAACAATTTTATTTTAAAGATTTTAAAAAAACTTGCAATTTTACGAAATTTTAAATTAAGATTATATACCTATAGTAGCGAAATGCCCAGTCTTATTTCTCCTTCGAACAGCCTCTTTAATACGCTCGACCTCATTCTGGTACCTGCGTCTGTCGTTGGCGGCTGTTTCTTTAGCCATTCGCAAGGACTGTTCCAAGCTCTTGACTCTTTCGCCCGTCATCCTCATCCGCTTTTCAAGTTTCGGAACTTCGCATCTGAACGCATGCATAAATAATTTGATTAATATTATCATTCATCATTCTACTTTTATTCCTTCCCTTAAATCCATCCCCCCATTCATCCCTTAACTTCTTTTCTTTCGTCCCATAATTTACCTAAGATCGGCGTTGTCCTTGAGCAATTGTTTGTGAACCCTGGTAAGTTGGTCCAAATTACTTTCGAGGAATATTATCTTTTGCTTATCGACGGCGTGATTATTAGCTCCTTCGTTTTCTTCGTCATCAGCTAAGATCGATTCGTTATTCCTAGGGGTGTCTGACAAATTTAAAAAATAATAATATAATTTTGAGTGATCGTAACTAATAAATAAGATGTTTATCTAATTATCATCTATCAATTATTATAAATTAATAAAACTAATTGTAAAGTCAATCTCTTGCATTTTCATATTGGTCAATGAGTTTTTGTATTTTTGAACTTTGATGTTCTGAAATATGGAAAGGATTGCTAACATGCCAGACATGATTTGAAAGATATGATCATAAATACTTTTTAATAATTTGTTTTTTTAATCAAAAACGATATATAACTCCTCTTTACTTTAATTACTAAAAGAAACAGATTCGATTTTGATAATCTGAGCACAATATTAAAACTTATGTAATTTATAAGTGCGACAGCTGTATTTTTTTAAAAAAACCTTTATTAGTAGCGATACTATCTTTATCCACCAAAGCGTTGGATTGATTGATGTTGCTATTCCGTTGGTTGACAAGTTGTTTCCTGTTTATTCTGTTGCTCAAGTCCTGGACGAAAAGTTTCCTTAACGTGTGAAGGGTTTGCAATTCTTTGGCCACGGTTTCTTCGAGGCCTTTCATGTCTCTTTTTGCTTGTTCCCTCCTTTCCAGTTGTTTGCAAAGTTCTTCCAGTTTAGAGCTCTTATTATTTAGTTCCTTTTTAAAAGAAAATGTAAATAGAAAACTATTAAAATATATAAAACATAATTAAGAATATAAATGTAAATATGAAAACTAAAATAAATAATTCTTTTTTTTGTTCTCACAGTCTTAAGTTTTTCGTGATCTGTCACCAAGGCTTGCAGTAGGGTTTTAATATCGACATTTTCATTTTTCAGTTCCTGGATTATCCTTTGCTTCTCGCTTATCTCGTCTCTCAGTGATGATAATTGCCTGAGGTGGACGTCAACTGAGTTGGAAAGGTCTTGAAAAATAATATATATAAAAATATAACAATCATTAAGAGTGTGCAGCTTAAAATGTATGAGAACATAGAAAAAAATACTATAAAAACAATTCAACCAAACACTTAAAGCAAACCAAAATAGGGTGTCCCAGTTCAAAAATACTTATCAAAGTAAATCTATTTATAAAATACTCTTAGGGTTAGAGAAAAATTCCTGATCTGTTTAAAGGATACGAGTAAATTAATTTACTTCAGGGTTAAACAACCATTTTTTTCCTTCTATAGATTCTGGCTTTCAGCTTCTCTCCTGCCATCTTTCCTTATATACTTACTCTTTATCCTTCCCCGAATATTTATTTTTTTAACCTTCGTTATTTGCTTGCAATAATGAATCACTGGAATTATTTGAAAAGGCTGAAGGTTGAGAGCCAGGGCTGGAAATGTTATTGGAAAGATTTGACGTGTTAATGGCCAAAGTTGGGATAGAATGTGATTCTAAATGATTAAATACATCAATTATTAGCGTTTATTATTTAAATATATAAATATATTATTTTATAATTTTAAATTAGTTTCATTTTGATTTCAAATCTATTTCCACAATATTTTTTTTTTTAAAAAAGACCTAGTTTCAATTTGGAATATTCTTCGTTGACTAAATCGAGTTGTTGTTCCAATTGGCGCTTTTTGATTTCCATCTCATGGCTCGCTTCTAGTAGGCTCTTGAGCTTGGCTTCTTGCTGCAAATATATCAGTATTTTTAATGAGGTGATAAGTGGGAGATTGTTATTGTATTTTTTATTATTATGCAAAAGGGTAATTCCATACCAAATCGATAACTTTTCGGCCCGACCTTTTTAATTTGGATAAAATTTTGCATACTGAAAGAATATCAATAGAAAGCATCGAATCCAAAATTTTAGCCTCCTAGTACTCATAGTTCCTGAGATATCAATGGTCAAAAGTGCCAAAAATGACCTTTTTTCGAAAAATACGATTTTTAAAAATTGAGATAAGTTAAAAAATAATGATTTTAAAAATATAAGTTATATGTCATTTTGTAAATCTATTAAAGGCCTTTTATTAAATATTAAGGAAATATTTTCTTATTCTCTAACCTTATATCTATTCATAAAAAAATTTAAACTTGGGACAACCATGGTTTTTTAGTTATTGGGATTTAAAAAATGAAAAAATAAATATTTTATTCAAAAATAGATGGCGCTCCTTTATAAAATAACGCGTTTTGTTAAGATTATTATTTTTTTAAACTTTTTTCTATTTTTGAACATAAATAGAAAGATTTTCTATCATTAATATGAAATGAGATTATTTAGCTGCGGTTATAATCATTTTTTTCTTATAAAAAATTTTATTTTCGAAAATTTTATAAATTTTGTAGATATATAGATAAATTAAAATTCATGAAAGATATTACCTATTTTCGGTTTTTCATTAAATTTAGTTCTTTTTACGCCATGATAATTTCGTGTTGCGATAAATTATATGTACGCCCAGTAGCCGTTGATAGGCTAACTATTGTTAAAATATTATTTTATGGTATGAAAAGGATATCTTGCGCAACTGGATAAACAAAAGAATTTGTTGGTCCTTTGGTTGAAGAAAATTAATTTTTACTTCATCTCTAATTACATTCACTTCTTGTACAAATCCTAACCACCAATCGTTTTTATATGCCCATGTTACATATCCTCTAATCTCATCGATTAATTGATCCTAAATCAAAGGATCCTCACATGGATATACTATATTCTCCACAATAAATGTCTGCGAATTAGAATATAGTTTAGTGTTGAGTTTAGTTAAACAATTACTCGCCTTAAAATGATTATATAATTCGTTCAAATTATTAAGAACTAACCTTTTTGAGCGTTCACTCGTTCCCCCTTTTATGCTAGATTATGCATCATTTTTTTCCTGGTAATACCCTACTAACTTGATCACTGCAAAATTTTAACAATATCAACTGTTTTTTGATTGAGATATTTTTGCAGGCTTTCGATTTGGAATTGAAAGAATTCTCTTTTCTTCTAAAACGATTTTGGAATTATATGCCAAATGATAATGTAGCGTTGAATGTCGTTTTTATTTTATTTGCGCTCCAATTAGGAGGCAGAATGGTCAGCAATTGATATTTTTTTATTTTTAGATTAAATAGGATATTGTAATTTTATATTATTGAATATCATTATTATCTTTTGTACCCGATTCTGGATTGTTAATTATTATATCTGAAATAAGCTTTTTATATTTTTGCTATCCTTTTTTTTGGATAATTTTTTTTTCTTAATAGGAGATATTCCAATTTCGTTTAAAGTTATATTAATTGTATCTATTGATGTTGATGTTGATGCTGTGTTGATATTTTTTACATATTAGCTATCAGAATAGTTATATTTTCAATATTATTTTGTGATAACCGTTTACGACATTTATCACAAATATAGTGTTCCGCCTCAATGTTTGGATATTGTGTCATCCACGTCATGACTTTACGCAGGTTCTTTTTATAATTAAAGTGTTTAGATTCTTTAAAAGGATTTACGCATTTATATTTATACATTATAAATAATTTTAAGAAGAAAAATAATTAATATCAAAATATTTGTAAAATAAAAATTAATTAATATTAGGGCAGGTGCATGAGACTTGCTTTTATCTTTCAACAATTAATTATTATATTTTCTTGTTGGAGATATCGGAATCTTAACTATATTTTTTAGGAAATTAAATCATTTATTATAAAAACAACTAATTATTACAAGTTATCAATATAATAATAATAAGTAAGCCTATCAAACGATCTATATAATATTTTTTTATGATAGTAATGCTGGAACATCTTATTATTTATGTTTAAAAGTAAAAAAAAGTTTAAAAAAATAATAATCTTAACAAAACACGTTATTTTATAAAGAAGCGCCATCTATTCTCAAGAAAAATATTTATTTTTTGATTTTTTAAATCGTAATAACTAAAAAACTCATGGCTGTCCCAAGTTTAAATTTTTTTTTATGAATAGATATAAGGTTAGAGAATAAAAAAATATTAAATTCAAAAATATTTGGAAAGCGAAACACCTGGAGTTTTCATGTTTAAAATTTATAACGTAAATAAAAACCGCAACAATATTATTTCAAAAAAATCCTTAATATTTAATAAAAGGCCTTTAATAGAGTTACAAAATGACATATAACTTATTATTTTATTCTTTATTTTTTAACTTATCTCCATTTTAAAAAATCGTATTTTTCGAAAAAAGGTCATTTTTGGCACTTTTGACCATTGATATCTCAGGAACTATGAGTACTAGGAGGCTAAAATTTTGGATTCGATGCTTTCTAATGATATTCTATCAGCATACAAAATTTTATCGAAATTAAAAGGTCGGGTCGAAAAGTTATCGATTTGGTATGGAATTACCCAAAATGATATCTCTATCGATTCGATACTTTTAATTTTTCCCGATAGTTACAATTTATAAAATTTTAAAATTATTATATATTTTTTCTTAAATTAAAAAAAATTCAAAATTATATATTTAAAATCAGATTAATTTAATATGTGATTTATTTTTTAGATGTAGAACTGAGCAAAACTATCAGTACTAATTTTACAAATTTGTTTTTTTTCCTAATCAAAGCTTTTTGTATTTGGATCAGTTATCTGCATCGGGCTTAATTTTTATAGCCCGACCCGGCCAGAATTTTTTTTTAATTTATCCAGCCCGATTAAAATTTTCTTTGATTTGTTCTGAAAAGCCCGACCTGAAATAAAAATTATTTGCTCGGCCCAAATTAATTTAAATAGAGAAAAATTTAATCTTGGTTAATTGCAAATAAATATTTTATATAAATAAAAAAATATTAGTGCCATGTTTCTTGCAAGAATTTTAAAATATATGAATTAATTTCACAAAATTGAAAGATATCATGCTTAAAAATATTAGGCTCGTAAAAATAGGCCCGAACCCGGCCCGCCGAGATTCGCGTATCTCGATTTGAACTCGAAAATAAAATAGACTTCGTATTGCTTATGATATTAGTGGCTCTGAAATAAAATATGTAAAATTAAATAATTATAAAATTTGTAAAGTTATTGTCATAAAAAAATTCAAAAAATAATTAAAAACCTGAGATATTAGCATTTTGCACTCAGATAATTCTTTATCGTTTTCTTTGATCTTGGAGCTATTTTCAATATTTGAGAGTTCCATCTCAGCAGTTTTCTGCGCGAAAAAAAAATGAATTGAAAACTTTTTAATCAAATAAATAAAAAACTTATCAACCTGCTAAATAAGGCCAATTTACTCAGGTCTGGATATATAAAATTTTTTTTAGATTAATGAAGGGAGTAGCGCCTTTTATATTAGAAAATTAAAATTATTCGACTAATCAGTCCTCATTTTAATGTTGAATTTAAGAAGAATAGACTGAATTTTGCGGGGAAAATAAAAAAAAATTTATATTTATACCTTGATAATAACTTCTAATTCTAATTTAAGTTTATTGATGAATAAGCGCGCGACCGTAAATTCTTCGTCAGTTCTTCCGTTTATCAATTCTATACTAGGCTATCGAAAAATAAATAGAAAGTGATTATTTCCTTCTTTATAATCATTTCCTCCCTTACCCTTCCTATTTCTCGACGTTATTTACCCTCGGTAAATCAATTGGCCAATCACTACAATTCTTATTAGAATCATAGAATTATTCACCCCCCCCCCATCCTTTTAAATCGTCCTTAGCCCCTCTTAGATCTATTGCCTCTCATTACAATCATAAAAGAGCTAAAACCTTAAAATCATCGGCCTTTCCTAGAACTACAGCAATTTCCAGCAAATCGATGGAAACTAGCTCTGATACTCTTTTCTTGTAAAATTCTAGGTTGTCATTTATGGCCTGTAACTGGTCTTGTAAGGTGCTTAGCTCACCCTAAGTTAATTTGTTTAAAAAAATAATATATTATGAGAAAAGGAATAGAAGATAAAATAAATGAATATTAAGCAATTCGTGAAGCAAAGAGTTAGAATTTTTTTAGATATGGATAAATTTTAAAGCGAAATCGAGAATTGGATAGAAAAGAATAAAAATTTAAATTATGAATATAAAGTGGGAAAGAAAATGAATGTATCAAAAGGGAACGAAAAGAATGTTTTTATTTTTAATAATTTATCTTTTTATAGAATATTTAAAGAAGTGTAAACTTTTTTTCTCCGTAGTTTATACCTATTTAACCTCTTTTTCCTTCTTTTTTAAAAATTTTAATTTATCGTAAAAAATAGATTATAATTTCTCATTCAAAAACTTAAATAATTATTTAATAAGTTGTTAAAAAAATTATATATCATTTTCTATAACAATAGTAGAATTAATGCTAAAAACTTGTACATATTTCTTTCTATCCTTTAACATTGTTATAAGTTTATATAAGGCATTATATATTTTATATTAAATTATTAAAATTAGCAATAAATATTAAGAAAAAAAGGTAGATAAAAAATTATTAGAAAAAAATCATTCAAAAATAAACCAATTTTTCGCTGAGTCTTCCATTGAGAGCTTCGTTCTCTCTGGATCTGTCACTCGCCTCATTTTTTTTCTGCTCGATATTCAATGCTAGTTCCTCGAGAGCCGATAGGACTTCTTTCACCTGTTTTTTTTAAATGTTAGTTTTATCTGCTTCTTCTCTTTATTCATATATTTTCTCTTCTTCGGTTATTTTTTTAATATATATCTGTTTCGTAGCAATGTAAAAATCAAACCTCGTCCCGGGCCGAATCATTTTCGGATTGCAACCGACTGATTTCGGTTATGCGAGTTTCTTCTTCGGATTTAAGGGCTAATAACGTTTCTTCAAGTTCGGATAGTTGAGATTTGAGTTCTTCTATTGTTTGAGATTGAGAGGTAAGGTCTTCATCCTAGATGATTTATATGGATAAAAAATATGAGTTATTTTTTTTTAAAAAAAAACTTTTACAAAATTTATTCATTGAAATATTCCGGAATTTTTTAAAAAAAATTATTGTAGATTCCTAGAAAAAAGGTTTTTCTAGGTATGTTCCCATCTTCTACATTTTCATTTTATCATCATATTTTCCTCTATATTCCTTAAACTCTAACTGTTTGCAGTTTCTTTTAACATCTCCCCTTTTAAAAAGGGAATGTCTAAGAAGTAATGATCTAATTTAATGAAAAGGAAATAAAACTTTGGATTAGCCTTTTGAAGATTACGGTCTGTAATATTTTTCATAAATTAGAGTAGAGTTTGGAAAAAAAAACTTCAAAAAATTAATTTTTTTGTTGAAGAAGTGAGATTTCAAATAAAAATTTTACCTAAAAATGGAAAAATCATTTTTAAAGTAGATCTTTTGTAATTTTCATGCATAAAAAATATTTCAAGGTAAAATCTAAAAAAAATTTAAAAAAACGAAATCAAAAAGAACAAAAAACCGAGAAAATAAATAAGAAAAAAACAACGCTCCCAAATACTTAAAATAAACCCAAAAATAGGGTGTTCTAGTTTAAAAACTGTTTAGTTTATGTTAAGCATTGAATATCAAAATTAAGTCGAACCAGAACACAACCTCAAAGATTTTTGTTGATTTTTTTTCAAACTCTGATTTTAAGGATGTATCATGTTATCTTAATATAATATTGCTAAAATTTCCTTTCTTTAATCTTACTTTTAGAGTGTTGATGATATAATCAAATTAAAAGATGTATATTTCTTTTGTGTAAAAAAAATAAATATGGCCGGTTAAAAGAGAAACGTTAAATTTATGGCTAATTTTTATTATCATTTATACTAATGTGAAAATTCATGTAATTTACATGTAAAAAATTTTTTATATTAAATATCATTTTTAAAAAAATATATAACCTTTTCATCGAGCATCTGGTAAAGCTTATATTTCTCTTCCTCGAACTTCTTCCGTTCTCCTTCCATTTCAACTCCGCTAACCTTAATTTCTTCAGATTTGCTGGGGGCTTGAGGGAGTATTTGTTCGGCTAAATTCAGCTGTTCGTCCGGGCGAACCGTTTCGCCCCGGCGCCATTTAGCGAGCTCGAGCAGGGCAGGTGTAAGTTTGTCCTTCAACCTTGTCACTTTGTCTCTATATAGATATAGATAAAGAATTATTGATTCTTTTTCACTAGCAATAGGCTTTTATTGAATGCAAAATGAGATTCAAGAGGTTACTAATCTTAAAATTTCATTAATATTTTAATTTTTAATCAAATTTCAATCGTCTCAACATTTAGGCCCGATACTAAACGAATTTTAATATTATTTTTCTAATATTCTATTTAAAAAAATTTTTTTTATAGAGATAAAACCTTTCTCTCTCGTAACGGCGTTTCCATTCTTCGGCGGTTAATTCTTCGTTAATCGTTATAGTGTTCTTTATAGTCTTAGCCCTTAAGAAAAAATATATTATCAAATTCTATGTAAAATTGCGTTTAATTCATCATTATTTATTTTAAAAAAAATTTTTTAAAGTATGTAACATTTAAATATTATCTATTTTTAAAAAATTAGGTAAATAAATTTGGAGAAGAACAAAAATAAATGCGCGAATAACTAAATGAATGAAAATAAAAATATATATATCAAATTAGGGAAAAATCTAAAAAAAATAAGAAAATAACATTTTCAATTTAATTTTTTTTTCTTCTTAAAATCTGGAATTATGCAAAAACTATATCGTTCCAACTACAAATTGTATAATTAATTTTAGATTGTATAAGCTACTCACGCTTAACCCGAGAGTAGACTCAAGACCGATCAACTTAAAGATTGAAAATATAACGAGATAAGAGTCACTATATATAAAACGATAAGGGACACTTTATATTTAAAATTAAGATGCATAGATATACTATGTCTTGTTAAAATTCATTTTATTAGACACCTTTTTAGTAATATGTAGTGTTCTTGATGTGAACTTAAGAAATCTAAAAATATTTGACCCTGCTGCATGCTTTATTTTTAAAAAATTATCTTTAAAATGTGTGTGAGAAAATTAGAGTTCTAAAACATTTTCTTGTCTAAATTAAACCTTAATTTTTGTAATTCATTATTGAAATCATGGATAAAAAAATTTACCGTTGGCCGAACATAAGGGTCGATTTGGTTTCAGTTTCATTGAAGGAAGCAGGACTGCAGCAGATAATTATGGTAGTTCTAGCATTTCCGCCTAAACTTTCTTGCAAGATCCGCGTCAGCTTGCTATCCCTATAAGGCACGTGCGATTTCTATTTCGTATTTTTTTTCAAGTTAATATTTTTATTTCTTCATTTTTAAAAAAAAAAAATGAATTTAAATACAAATGGATATCAGTTAAAACCGTTCCTTCCGCTAGGGCAGCTATAACGTTTCCTAGGGCCGAAAGAGATTTGTTTATATTCTTGGCCTCGTCCAGTACGGATCCTTCTGCCCCGGTTTTACTAACCTAGTTTTATTTTTTTAAAGTATATTATACATGTAAAATACAATTCTTGTAGAAAGGAGGTAAAAAAAGTGCGAAGAATAATTATAACGATTTTATCGTTGTGTATTATTAACAGCTGTCGATAATAATAACGGCATAAACTTTACATTAGTGTTGTTAGAAAGCCCGATTTAGGTCGATTTTTAAAAACGGCCCGATTAGGATTTTAGTCAAAATAATATTTTGTAAACCTCGAATAGGTGGCAAATAGGTTGGTGCCTCTATTTTCCAAATCTCGAGGCTTACACGATATTATTTTGGCGAAAATCTTAATCGGGCTTTTTTTTAAAATAACAACACTACGTTATATCAAATTATCAACTGAATAAATATGTTTGCCAAAATATTAATTTTTTTTTTATAATTTAATTTTTATAAATGGTGTATAAGGTTGTTTTTTTATCGTCAACCATACCTCATTATATGTCTTTCTCTCTTTATATTCATTTTTTTAGAAAAATAAAAGATGGACGTGAAAATTTAACTCCATTTTTATTAATTTTATGTAAGAGCCAATATGATTTCAACTAAAATATTATGTTTTCAAAATCACAAATTTTGATAATTAATGATTTTCATATTGTAAAAATTTGAGTAAAAAATAAGAGGATGAAATTGGGTACTATAATCCCCTTTTAATTCTGCCAAATTCAGCATGAATGAGAAGCATATAATAAAACAATTATAATTTTAAATAGAAAACAAAACTTTTTCACTGCCAGCCAAATCTACAAGGTAAAGTTTTCCGCTTAGCTTTTTTTGCGTTTCGATGTTTTCCTGTTTAACGTTTATGAGAAATACGCTGTGACTCCTAGAGGAATGTTCGTTCATGTCTTATTTTAAACAAAACAAAATTCCGATTTTTTTTATATCATAAAATAAAATAATATAAATGCATCGATCTCAGTTTCTCAGGTCTTTATATTTAAAATGGTTATTATTTTTATTTTCATTTTCACCCTTCATAATTTCGTCATTCTTACAATCAAAATAAATCATATTTAAAAACTATATTTCAATATTAAATTATAAGGCTCACAGGCCAATATTATTAATATGTTAATGTATTATTTTTTTTAAACCTTAAATCATTTATGTTTTTTAGATTTAAATTTACAGGAAATGTTTTCCATCATATGTAGAATACTTACCCTATGAATTTTAAATTTTGCCGTTAATTTTTGAGCCATTTATAATTTATATTAAAAAATACTCTTATGGAAAAATTAACATAGATTAAAAATTTAGAGCAATTATTTTTTAATGTAATCTACACTATAGATCGGCAAAAGTAGGTCTGGCCCCTTAGAAAAAAAATTCGGTTCGGATTGAGTCGGGCCTAATATTTTATAAAGAATTTCGGGCCGAGCTTGAAAAATTAAGCCCGATGCAGATCAATAAATCTATGCATGTTGAAATAATTTTGCGGTATAAAAATTTTAAAATCTCCTCAAAAACGATGATTTAAAATTGAAAAGGTAACACATCACAGGCAAAAAATACATTAATGTTAAAATAATTATTTATTTTAGGAATAGGCAGGCATCTAGGCCGTAACAAACTTCGGTTCAGTTCAGATTTAGGTTCGGATAAAAATAACGGTTCATGGTCCTCGTAAAAAGTAATAATATTGGTTCAGTTTGAACTTTTGAAAACCGATTAAAATCTTTTCGTATAAGAGTATTAGAATTAAGTGAAGCTTTTTTAAATTTTACTACATTTCTCTAAAAAAATAATATTGAACCGTATAAAATTAAAATATTTTCAAGTCTTGCAAATTATATATAAGGAGGAAAATAAATTTTAATCATCTTTAAAAGAGTTTAAATATCAAAAGGTTAAAACCGGTTTATATACATTTGTAGAAGTTAGGCTCGGGTTTGGGTGATTAATTTTTAATGCTTCAAGTTAGGTTAATAATAACAGTTTGATTTCCTGGGAATAGGAAAAAATTGGCATTCAAATTTATAAAGTAAAAGAAGTATAATTGAAATGAAAATTAATTAAATGTAATATATTTTTTTTAGTTATATTTTCTTTTAATGATATTTCACCACGAATTATAATTTAACTACAAAAAAGAGACACATAATAGCGTAAACCAATATAATAATTTTGCTTTAAAAAAACTAAACTGGTAACTGCCACGTGTCTATTAGCTTTTCCTTCTTGAATAGTGTCCATCACTTCTTCCGGGCTGGTAACGAATCTCTCAGTGGCGCCCTATTTAAAAAAAATTTAAAATTTTTTTAAATTTCTTGGATTTTATATATTCATTTCATTTTTTTCTAAATCTATTTTCATTCATTTAAAAAAAAATCTTTTAAAGAGAATATATACTTTAACGTAGGGAACTCTATTCTTATCTTCGTGAACGGCTAGATTGATTTTGGATACTTTTTAAATAATTTTAAAGAAAATTACTTATTATATTTAAATATTTTTATAATGATATGCAATAATGTAGTAGGTAACATAGTAAGGGTTGATATACCTAAATTAGATTTCAAAAATTTAAAACCATTTGGTGGAACATTTTGGGAGTACAGATCAAACAAGGACCGTTTTATGCACCATCGAACCAGGTGTAATAGAAACATGGGATGATAAGACACTTTTCAGAAAATTGGTTCCTACACTAAGTTTCTATTATCAAAATTACTCCTAAATAGAATTTAAAAACTGAACCCTAATTAGTGTTCACAGCCCTGGTTTAATACTTAGAAATAACATTTATAAAAATGTATTTATTTATTTTTTCATAAAGAAAGGTTTATTTATTGCAAAGATTGATGTTTAAAATTTGTTATTCATATTCATATAATAATTCTATCATGTATATATTTGCAACTTACCATCCAATAGATCCCTGATTTTGTCCATGTATATTTCGTAATAAGATACCTTTTGAAAAAAAACATTATCAAAAATCATCATTCCTAAGAATTCTGGTCTAAAATATGATTCATATTTCCTCCTCTTTCGATTCCTTCCTCCCTTCTTTGGATCCTCTTATTTCTATCATATCTATCTCTCTTTAATAATATTATTTTTGATAATTCAAATAAATGGTATGTGTATGTTACTTTTATATGAAATTCCAAATTTTCGTCTAATTGATAGATATGCTGAAAGATATCAGACACTATCCTGGGAATAATTCCTTCGAGCCCGGCATCCCCTATAACACCCTTCGTATTAAATTATTTTTAATTAAAATAAATAATTAGAAATAGGAAAAATAGAACAAAAAAAACTTTAAAAAAAAATCAAATGGAATGCTAAATTAAATCAAATCTTAAACAAAATGCGAAATGAATATATATATAATAAATGAAATGATAACTAAAAATTTTTAAAAAAAACCTCCATTGTATGAGTTTTACCGCTGGATGTTTGACCGTAGGCGAATATTGTGCCATTGTACCCACACAAGACATCTAATATATATATTTTTTTAAATATAATTAAGATCATAAAAATGTAATACATTAACAGAGTGAAGCCCTACGTAGGTTGGTGATTATAACAAGAGAAGTTTTAGTAATCTGAGAGGAGGTTCATTCTAAATGCAAATATTAGCCGCTTTTTACCCCGGCAAAAAAATCTATCGGGAACAAATCAAATCGCTAAGTTATTATAGCTTTTTTTGGTAGAATAGTGTACCTTGCCAATATCAAAGTGGCTACTCTATGCCTAATTAGTATCGAGTAGGCGACTAAAGCTATATCATAAAAATGAATTTATTTATTATACGGTTCATCTTTTAAACCTTTCACGATGGGTTTCGCGCTTTCACTATAGACTCTATCTTGAGTTGCGTTCGATTTGTAAACCTTATCGTAAATGTAGTATTTTCCCTTAAAATAAAATAAAAACTAATTTTAAAAATTTATTCAATATTTTAACAAATAAATTTAATTAAAATAAAACGATCGTAGAGAAGCAGGTTAGAGCCATGCACATTCATTTTTCTAGGTCCAAGTCAGGACCGAAATGTTTTTAGGTACTCATTTTAGGCCAGAGCTCTACGAGGCGGGGGCTCAAATGGTGTGAGGTCTCATATTTATAATAAAATAGAGAATATGGTCATATTTTATTTGTAAAATATTTTATTGTGACCTAATTTATAGGGGAAGAAGTTTTTTTTATAGAAACAAAAAAAAATGAGAACGATGACATTTAGTCTTCTTAACAGAGCAAACTTGTAATTCCCACTCACTTCTATCAAAAACATTAATTTTTTTATTAGGAATGTGCCGATACAGCAGACCCAATATTTCATCATTAAGAAATCTGGATCAACACGGCTACAATTTTTACCAATATTTAACCTGTAATATCCTTTTTTACCCTATTTATAGTTGAGTCATTACCTATTCATTTCATCATAATCTATTGACACCATCTGTTAATCTACCTTATATGGTTCGCTTATAGCTAATAGCTTTATACTAATCGGAATCGCGCTCATCCCGTTCCTTATAAATTTGCTTATTTCTAGAATCTTTATCTTCGCTTATTTCTAGAATCTTTGAATATTTTTCTTTTTATACATGTTCATTCAGGAAAAATAAGACTTTAAAAAGAAACGATTTGATTGGGGCAATATTTCGTTTTACCCGGTAAATAATAGATAAAGAAATACAACAAACTATCTGGTGATTATAGAAGGTAGAATAAAAAAATCAAACAAAACTTTAAAATTTTCCGAGTAAAACCGACCCTCCAGATGGTGCAAATTTTGTATTTATATCAGAGACCTGCAGAGGTACCATTTGCACGGCCCGGCCCGGTTTTAAATTTTTTAGGCCCGGCCCGGATATTTTTTTAAAAATTTTTTTACGGCCCGGCCCAGATTTAAAGATTTAAGGCCCGGCAGGCCCGGCTCGGAATTTTTTAAAATTATATGCGACCTGGTATATACAAAAATTCACCTATGAGGTATTTTACCATATTTTTCAGCGAGTATTATCGCTTATTATTTAAAAAATACATGAAAAAAGCTAATATTTTGAGAATATTATATTGAATTTATAAAAATGGATATTTGAGCATATACTATATTTTTTGCATTTATAAAAATAAAACTAATATTCATAAAAATGGTAATAATATTTTGAGCATATACTATATTTTATATTGCAAAAAAATAAAACTAATATTTAATTTATAAAAATGGAAAATATTTTGAGAATATAATATATTGTATTTAATTTACTATTTAATTTACTATTTAATTTATAAAATAAAAATAAATCGCTATTTAAAAAAATGCATGTATAATAAATAGTATTTTGAAAATATAATCTAATTGCACAATATTAATATAATTAATTTTATAATTTTTAAATATTTTATATTACATTTATAGGTTGGTTTTTCAGGTGTAAAAAAAATTTATTAATTTTCATGGATTTACCATCACATTCATTTATGTCTTTTTAAATGTGATGTACCATGTTTATAATTATAAGATAATATACTTGAACAATTCTTACATTGTACGTAGCCAATGTTTTTTTTATTTTCATCTATGATTATGTTAAATTTAGCCCATATTTCATTTAAATTATTATTTGTATTTCTAAAAGAATAAATATTATTTTTAATTTTATTAATTATATCATTAGTATTTTGTGCCATGCATGATATTCCTTTATTTGATTGTTTTGATAAATATTCTAAAAATTTAGATATGGATTATAAAAAATATATTATTAATACTTGAATATTGGGGCTTATTTAAGATTTGGTAAAATATGTTGTAAAAATTTAGATATGAATTATAAAAAAATATATTAATACTTTGAATAAATTTGCAGGAAATTAATAATTAGATCGATCTGTGGGTGTTAGGTGTGTTAACCATCACCCAATATTATATTAATCATAACTATAATATAATATAATCTTATAACCATTAACTCATATTGTAAAAATTTTTATAAAAAATATTAAGGCCCGGCCCGGGTTTAACAATCTTAGGCCCGGCCCGGATATATTTTAAAAAAAAATTTTTTAGGCCCGGCCCGGGTATATTTAAAAAATTTAAAATAGGGCCGAGCCGGGCTTAGGGCCGGGCCTGCAGGTCTCTGATTTATATATAACAATATATTTTTTTTGTTTAAGGCCATTAATAGGATTATTATGCTAGTTTATCCTTAAAAAAAAATCCTATCTGGTTAGGAGCTCAAAACTTTAAAAAAATTATTACAATCACGTGATTAATTTTAACTCCTGTTGGATGTTATTTCCCTAATTATAAGGCTAATTTAAATAAATATTGATCGTCAAAAAAATCTTATATATCAGCATTCTTGGTTTTTGTTTAGCATTTAATGTTAAATTATTAATTATTTCGTCAACACTGGTAAAAGTATACAAAATATTTTTTTATTCATTCACTGTTCGTTGAAGTCATTCACTCAGCCATAAATTTAAATCATGGCCGTCATTCCTTGATCCCGAATCGGGGCCAACCAATCATGAGATATTAATTTAACTCCAATCCCAAATCGCGATATATCATGCGACGAAAATACACAAATTAGAACTTTTAAATTCACACATTAACAGTAAATCAAAAAAAACATTTATTCGTTTATTTTTCCCTCGTCTGCCTTCATCGTGCACACTTAATTACGAGCTATTAATAATACCACAATTAAGATATAATCATTCCAACGATATGTAACCTATATTCTTCCATTATTGCATTATACTCGTAGTAACAAACCATATCAAAACTTATTTGTTATTCCATGATTTTGTAAAAAAAAAAAAGACTAAAATAACAAATTGAAAGATAAAATAGGGAAGTTTAAAAAGAAAGAAAAGAAATGAAAACTTTATAATAATAATAATAATAACAACAAATTAAGAAAGGGAATTCAGGGGAAAATGTTTTTTTTAATTGGAAAAGAAAAGGATGTTTCTTTCTTTTTTTAAATTAGTTTTTTTTTTAAATTTACGCTTTCGCTGTGAACGATCCTAGTAGTAAGTTTGTATGTAATAACTCGTAAGGTATTATCGATTTAAAAAGAAAATACAATTTTTAAAAAAACCTAGGGAAATGGAAATGGATAAAATAAATATGGAAATAAAAAAGGGATAAAAAGAAAAACAAATTAAAAGCAAAATATAAAATCGGGGGAAAAAAAGAAAACAAATCTTATTTGGATTCGAATGAACTTGCATTTCAATGAAAGATGCGAAATAGAGTAGAAATTGGAGGAAAATAAAATAAAAAGTATATTATATAGGGAGAGGGGGGGGGGGTGGTGGTATTAGAATTATAAATCAATAACTTGCGCATAAATACTAAATGAAAACAGGAGATAAAAAAGTGAATATTTAATAACTAAGATTAGATGAGAGATCATAAAAAAAAATTTATCGCAAGAATTTATTTGATTTTTTTAAAAATATATACAATATAAAATATAATTAAAAAAAAAATATTTTGATGCAAAAAAAAATTTGTCGACCAAATCGATAAATGAGTGGGAGACATAAAATACAAAGTAAACAATATTAGATCAAACGAGTGCTATAAAATCGAATTTGTGGAGGACTAAATAATTTGTGTAAAAATGAGGAAGAAAGTGAGGGAAGGAAGGAAATAAAAGTTAAAAAAAAGCGATAAATGGAAAAGTTACGAGAATAAGTAAGATTCCCTCCCCCTCATACATAATTTTTATAGAAAAAATTAGTGTTTTAAACGGCTCGTTTTGAGCCGATTTTTAAAAACGGCTAACTAAATATTTTAGCCAGAAAAATATTGCCTAAGCCTCGAGATTTCGCTAATAGATGTCCAAACCTTTGTTCCTTTTACAAACAAAATCTAATATTATTCTAGATGAAATATTGAATTAGCCGTTTTTTAAAATTGGCTCAAAACGAGCCGTTTAACATCACTAGAAAAAATATATGTTTTCGATTTCAAGTCAAATTGTTTAGGGAAAAATAAATTTGAGATTAAAACTATCCCATAAAAATAAAACATATCTGAAAATAAAAAAATATTTTTAATTTGAATGATTATTTGACTAGCTTTTTTTTAACCAAGAAGGCGGTCTGCCACCCGCCATTATGTCTTATAGATTATTTATTACCCACAGGTTAGATTAAAAGAATAAGCCGATTTATGAACAATAGGTAAAAGTGAAATACAAACATTTAATTCAATGTATTCATTCATTCATTTGGCTATGTATCGTAGGTATAGGATCCATTTAATGTCTGACCTGGCCATGAACTATAATATATTAAGTCTGACATAAGTAAAGGGAAAAGTTTAACCTTATTAATATTTTATAAAAATTTTTCCTTTTCAAATCGTTAGATCCTTATTATATCTTTCGATTTTTTTTTGGGGGGGGGGGGGGGTGGGGTCGCTTTTCTTGTGTAAAAAAATGAAGTGGGAATTGAATAACAAGATTAAAAGGTTACAAAATTAATTGGGAATTTCAATAGAATAGCAAGACTAAAAAGTTAGTACTTATTTATTTAATTATATATTTTTAGATAGTCAACACCAACAAGATTTAATTTATTCATAATGCTAATATTAACATCAACAGAATTTTCTTATTTAACATAGACATCTAAGTTTAAAAACAGCCCCTCCCCCAAACCCCATAAAGTAAGTAATATATGCGCAATTCTCGGGTATAGGCTTTTGCTTTGCCCAACTCTTTTTATCTTAGCCTATGGATGTTTACATGACAGTCCCCAGACTGTTGTGCGTACAAGTACGTGCAGCTTGCCAACAAGCGTGTAGATGCCCCTCACTTTTAATATTTTCACCAAACTTAATTTATTTCAGTTAGATGGAGATAAGGAACACCTAGGGCAGCTCTGTTGAACCTTCAACGATAGAGGGCAAAAACGCTATAAATCACATATCACGTATTTATCTTTCCTACATCCGAATCAAATTCTCATAACATTGTAGTATATAATATTTACCGCCACAACGCAAGTGGTCTCATCATTGGGAGGGAATTTGACTATAACGGTGCTTCCGGCCCGTTCCTCGCTACTGTTCAGGGGTCTGAACCGGCACATTACCTTTATGCTGCATTCGGCAGGTTCTACCGCTTGACTCATGGCAGCGTCTACAGTCTGTCCTTCTTTGCTATTAGCCAAAACGATTCCCTCTTTATTGTTGGAAGATGTTAATCCGTTGGAATTGAGTGAAAAGATGGAGGAAACCATGGATTGGTTTAGCAGATCCATGATAAAATGACGAAATAATTTTGTTTAATAAAAATTTTCTTTTTTTTTCAAATAAATTTCAAATAATTTTTTTTGTTAATTTTTTTATTCTTTTTTGTTAATTTTTTAAAAATAATTTTAGTTGTTAGTAGTTTTATTGTTTTAATTAATTTATAATTTTATTTTAATTTGAGATGAGAGGAGAAGAGATTGATTTAGATCTTAGTTTGTTATTTTTAGTTTTGTTGAAGTGAATAATTTACCTACAATAATCTGGTATTCGGCGTGTGAATGATTTGTCGAATTTATGGATAATAAATATATATTTTTCTTTAAATAAATAAATAATTTGCTAGATATCGTATTTTAAAAATAAGAGGACGGGGTTTAATATATATAATTTATTTTTTTTGTGAGTATAATATTTATTTAATTAATTATAAATTTGATTATTTTGTTTTTTTTGAGTAAATATAGTATTTTTTTTAATTATTTTATAAAGTTTCTGAGGTTAGGCTGAGAATTCGTACCATATCGCGGAGGGGCGTATGACTTTACCTAAAATAAAATATTATTTTATAATTTCTAATATTTATATTTATAAAAATTAAATTAAATTCATGTTTCCCGCTTTCTATAACATTTTTCAATTTCCGTTCCTCTGAAAAACGAACATTATTTATAATCAAAAACGATCTTTTCTAAGACCATTTCCAGGCATAGTGTTGTTAAACAACCCGACTAGGGTCGATTTGTAAAAAGGGCCCTTTTAACATCTTAAAAATATTAAGTAAGCCTGGAGATTTTGCTCATAGATGGCAAAAAGGTTTGGAGTAGAGGTGGGCGGGGGCCTAATTTTTTATTCACGGCCCGTCCGCTCAAGATGGAAATAAAAAATTCGTGCCCTTTTACGCCTATTACCAAAAAATTTTAGACCCGACCAACCCGCTCACGAAAGGCAATTTGATAACGCCCGTCCTGGCAGAAAATTCACAGAGTGTTTAAATTTTTCAAAACTTTATTACTATACTTTTATACACTTTTTTAAATTTATTCTATCATAGTTATTATTTATCTAATTCCATATTAGTAACACAAAATAATCAAAATTTATAAAAAAAAATTAAAGAATGCCCATTTATTTTTATTTCCAATGTATTCATTTTTCCTCTAATAAAAGATTGGCTTTCACTAGAAGCCGAAATTGCCAAGGCTGACAAAATTTTACTAGCGAATTTCCTCAAAAAGATTTCCTGCTTCCAAAACTTCAAAATATTGTCATTATTTGTTTTATGAGCAAATCTTTTAAGTTCATCTTCACAATTTTCATCTGTAGATGTTAAGGCTTCATCAGAATCATATGGAGAATGAATTGAGTTAAAAATGATAGTTGGCATTGTTTTATGCATATTGTCAAATTTTAAATCATTTAGAACTTTTAAGTTGTTTTATATGTATATGCCTTTTCATCATCTGTTAAAAATTTGAAACTTTTAAATTTTGGTTTTAGAATTAAGCCTATCTTATATAGTAGCTGCATAATAAATCTTTCCTTTAAAAGAGATGTGTCCTGCTCTTTAGGGTTTTGATTATTACTGTATCCCCTTCGAAAACTTGATAAAATTTCATTAATATTTGTTTCCATAAATAAACTTTATTTATAGTGGGATGAGAATCTGCGCTCAAATTATCTAAGCATTCTTTGAATATTGATAAAAAATTATCTAACTATTATGTGATATTTATATTAATGATCACTAATCTAATTAATTCTTGTTTGTAAGAAGGTAAACTTATATTTCATCATATGATTTTGTATCATGATATATAAATAGTTTCATCGTTATTACATCTTAATTAAAAGTGTTAGCTTGCTGTTTGCTGCATATTGCTTAAAATATTGCACTATCTTTTTACACCATTTATATATAAATTAAAGCATTTCAGGTAAGCAATTATCAAAAATATAATGAATTATATTATTTAATGTATGGCATGAACATGGTATCCTTTCATCATCTCTGAATGAAGTTTATTCATTACATTTTAAACTGCATCAATTATCTTTTAGATTTATAGGTAAATATGAGAAAATTTAAACAAGTTATTAAAATGTTCAATTTCCCTTTAATTTTGACTGATTATATTGAAAGCTAATTATTAGTATATAGTAAAGATAAATGAAAATAAAACATTTTTAAAATTAAATTTATTACCAAATTTCCATTGCTGGAGAGTTGAGAATTTAAATTATTTTTTCATTCAATTGAAATTTTATAAGATTAGAAAAAAATGTTTTTATAAAATGTGTAATTTTTATTGTTTTGAAAAATTATTCCTTTTTCAAAAATTAAATTAAATTAGCAAATGTATATTATAATTTATAATTCTAAAATTGCAAATATATATTTATAAAAAAAACAATTTTAAAAATCAAAATTTCCATGATTCGTGGGAAATATATGTTCATGCCCCATAATGCCGGTAAAAATTTTGGGAAGGCCTGTCACACCTAATAAAAAATTTATTAACACTTACGCTGTAACCCATCGTGTCATGCAAAATTTCATGGCCTGCACCCACCTCTAGTTTGGACCAGTATTTGACAAATCTTGAGGACTACATAATATTATTTTGGTTTTACTGGGTCGTTTTTAAAAATTGAGACAGGTTAACAACACTATCAAGGCAAAATATTTTTTCTAAGTGATTTCCTAGGCATGTTTACAGCTGATTTTTTAAATATTTATTTTCAAATAAAAGATAATTTGTCGAATTCATATCTTTTGCATAATAAAATGTTTTAAATGCAAACTCTCCCAAGCACTATTTAATCGTTAATAAAAAATAAAATCTAACATGTGTTTAAATAAAATAAATTAAAGGATTAGCTGGAAACATTCCTAGAAAATCGCTTTGAAAAAGTGTTCTGTCTGGAAATGGCCTAATGATTTTTTTTTAAGAATTTAGATGTGGTTATGGAATTAGATAAAGAAAAAAAAATTGAATTTAGCCAAAAAAAAATAAATAAAAATATAAGTCGATAAAGATCATTTTATTACTGCATTCCATAAAATATTGATTCTATAAGCGAAAATAATATTTTAAAAAAAATTATAAGAAAATGGTGAAAGTGTGATAGTAGCCATTTTACTAAATTTGAATTTCATTTTTGGGAGAAAATTATATATTTTTTTAACTTTCAACTGGTAAAGTTAGGATTAAAAATTCCCCTAATTTTATTAAATACATCTAAAATCAAATTGAGCATATATTTCCATTAAATCTTTACTGATATTTCCTATCAAAATAATCAAAATTTTTTTAATAGCCTAAGAATAATTTCATTTTATAAAGATGTGAAAATGTATGCACAAAATTTTACCGTTAACAAAACCTATTAAGATATATGTAATTAAAAGTGTATAGAGGACCAAACTTGGACCTCAACAAAAATTTAAATTATATTGTTTTCCTGATATATATATTTATGAATACTTCAAGAATATACTTAATTGATTACAATTCTAAGACACTTATAATTATTTCAATTTTGTTGAAATATTGTATTATTTTAAGAGTTCAATATAAAAAAATATATATCAGAGCAAACCTATTTAAAAATAAAATTTTGGACTTGAATTTTTGAAGAAAAAAATATAGAAAACAATATTATATGCTTTAACAAATGCATACTAATAACTGAGTTTATATTATAAAAGCTACCATAAATGATTAGATTAATTCTTATATATAAGATATAGGCAATCATTTTAAATTTGTCCTGCCATTTAGCATTATTTGATAAAAGTTAAAAAAAATCATATTTTTATCATACTTTTTTGTAATATTTGATAAATAAAAGTTTTACATTAATTTAACAATATAAGATATAATAATTTATTATAAATCTTATATTCAGCAGGAAATACTTCAATGAAAATATAAGGTTAAAACAAAAATAAATCAAAATTTAGTGTAAATTAAAAAAAATATATTACTGATAAGATTATTTGTCATAAAAATATAAAATTAAGCTTAAGCATAAATGGTAATAATCAGAAGTTAGTGCATTTAATTTATAATCAGAAATGTGTTTAAAGAATTTGGTGGGAGGGAAACTTTATTTTACTATAAAAATATAATATATTTTATAAAAAAAAATGTTTGGCAATAGTAATACACATTTAATTGTATTAATACAATTATCATAAGATCAGTTAATCTTAAACTCTAATTGTATATATTCATTAATAAAATAAATGATTATGGGTTAATAAAAAGTAAGATTTATTAGACAACTTAATATATTTGTTATGGATCTAACATATATTTTAAAAAATTGAAGTTTTACCTATGGGAAAATTGAGCTATGAAATTTTAGAAAAAATAATAAGAAAATCAATAATTTGAAATACACACACACTAGGAAATGTTTAAAATGTTTAGAAAAAATATCATTTGCGTTTTTATTAAAGTTAAATGAACAATATCCCATTTTACTTGGTAGCCAGATAATTATCAATTATTCAAAATTTTAGTATGTGGATGTTATAACTTTAATAGCTCACCTGTGGCGTAATTAGGTTCTTTTAATAGGTGTCTAATGTTTTAAAAATAAATTTGGGTTATACCAACATTAATAGTCACCTTACCTATGATTATTGGCCAATGGTAATATTTATAAATTTTTCTATATATATCGTGTAATATATAAGTTATTCAATTTGTAATGACTTTTATAATAAATTTACAATGATATAATATTATACAATATATAAAGCGATATATTCAAATAATATGGTAGTAAAAATACCATAAAATTTATATTATATAATATAATAACCTTTTATATTATATTATAAGCTAAGATATAACATATCTTACTTTCCCTCAAGTTCTCTATTATATTATCTCCTATCTTTATTTGTTCATTAATTATAATAAATTCAAACTTTTTCTTTCTCCCACGTTGTTAGATAATTTCGCTTGTTATAACTTTTCTTTTCTTACCAATATTAGTTGTTGTTTTATTACCATTTCAATTATTCTATCATCCTTTTTCTTTATTGAAATGTGATAAAATATTTGTCAACGCCTGTCTCATAATTCATATAGAAATCATCATAAGCATAGCCAAGATTTTCCTAAGGGGAGATGGGGAATTAAAAAATTACTGGGGGTGGGGCTTCGCCCCCAGACCTCATTAAAACGGGCCTTCGGCCCGCTTTTGCCCGTCCTTCGGCCGGGTTACCTTAGTCTATAAGTCATAAAATATTTTTACAAGTTAGGAGGTTAATTTTAATAAAAAAAAATAAGCCTAGAGCAAATATGAAATATATTTTTATTAGTATATATAAAATATAATAAATTACTTGTATATACCTTAATATAAAAACTTGGTAATAATTTATTTCAAACAAGTATAAGAAATTTATTTATAAAATGTAAGTAGACATATAGATATAGTTGATATTCCTCTATTATATAAAATTAGTTACAAAATACTAGGTAAAATTCCACTTTTACAGACATATTTGACAGTTAGAGAATACATTAAAGTTAGTTAATATTTTAACACATTTTACTAATCAATGCTCTTGATAATAAATATAGCAACAATTTGCATTCAAATTTTTAACGCCATCTATTTATTTTAGATAAAAATTATATTAAAAATTAATCTTCATATTATTCAACCCACAATGTCTTTAAAGGATATTTTCTTATGTCCATATCAATATTTTATAGTTTTCTATAAAATATAAAATTCGCTAAATTGGCAAAAATTACTTGATTGTCATATGATAATTGATAAAATTAGATATACTGTAAATCAATGACATATAATATTCCACTGTTTGTATTGTGCTTTAATTTTTTATATAATTTTATGAATAGTTTTATAATTATATTTACTTTTATTAAGATAAATAAATTAAAATTACTCACTTTATAAAAAATTATATTTGATATATTATATTATTTAGTAATTTTATGGATCTATTATTAATAATTATAATACATTTCACTTCTGTCTTAAGACTTATCTTTGGCTTATATTCCATCTCTTAAAAAACATTTTTGGTTCACTTTTTTTATATATAAATGCTTTTTTCCAAATATGTATAAATTATGATGAATAGTTTTATAAAAAAATATTAACTTTTCTTTCTTTCAAACTATTGTTTAAGATATAGGCATACATTCTTGGGTGTCAGGGAGTGGGGAGAGGACTAAGGGGGATTTTTTTAAGCTTAAAATGATAATCACAAAAAGTGATAAATTTCAACGGGGGGGGGGTAAATTTCTCCTTGTCTTCCCCCACTGGCTACGCCTATGGCAATCATAAATATAATTTAAATGCCCATCGTAGTAGTGATGTTAAGCCAGATTTGGGTCAATTTTCATAAACAGGCCAATATCGATTTTAGCCAGAATAGTATTGTGCTTGGCAACTTTATTCATAGATGCCAGATATTATTGGAATATATTTGCCATATTCTGGCTACCCGACTTTAATGCCCCAAATCGGGCCGTTTAATTAGTATACATAGTAGCAATCGTTTATTTTTCAGTAGGCTTAAATCCTTTTATTTTAATATATTTTTATTAGGAGATATAAATCAGTACGTATAAAATTTTATACGACTTTATAGTTGCTTCTTTGTCTTTTATACAATGTTATAGCTTTTGCTTCTTTGTCCATTGTAGAATTTTTCAGCATTTTGTAATGTTCTTGAGGGTATATACGCTATTAGTAACTCATCTTCGTTATTACATTTTTGTTGGTTAGACTTTTAAATGTCTTTTTTTTAATCCCAAATTTTTATTTTTCTAGGGACTTGTTATATTATTTTCTAAACTCATCATTTTTATCTATTATGAAATTTTCCAAATATATATATATAAAGGTAATTTTGAAAATAATTTTAAAAATTTTTTAGACTAGTGACCCCCCTCTCCAGATTATATCTAATGTTGTATATTTATTTCCATTTGGGATTTTTTACAATTAAATCTTGGGTATTCTAAATTTTATGTTATATTAATTTTATGTGGTCTATATTCCAAATTCTAAGTTTTATCAATTCTAGGTGGCCTATATTCTATTTAAATTCTAAGTTATCTATTCTATGTGGCCCTAATATTCTGAGTTATATCAATTCTATGTGGTCTATATTATTAGGATTGTGAACCCGGTAAAAATATTAACCAGGTTCGGTTCAGAGTAAGATTAAATTAAGTGGGTTCGGTTCGGGTTTGGTTGAGGAGAATATTTATGAATCCGGGTTTTGAGTTTAGTTAGGGTTTGGAAATATTTGAATTGTATATAAAAAATATTTTTATATATTTAGATCATAAAATACTATACATAAATAATAAAAAATAAAAATTTTATTTTATTATAGGCAAAATGTATATAAATAAAAACACAGCATAGTCATATATCAATTTTAATATTTTTATTTAGATGTATTATGTTAACTTAATATTTTCCAAGAGTTATTCGCTCCTCGATCTTTGCAGTGAAAGAATGAATTTCAAATGTGAAAAAGATCTTTCAACGCGAATCTATATTAAATATATTTTTATGAAAATATGGGGTTGCAGGGAGATCAAATAATGTTTTGGATAAAATATATACAGGGTGCAACAGCTTAGCAGACTCCCAAAAATGTAAAATAATTTCCTTTTTATCTAATCTTTTAAAATTCCCTCCATTAATTATCATTCTATTATTTTTCTCTTCAATCGTTTCCTTTTTAAGTATTTTCTCCTGGTTTTCTTTAAGTTGCATCGATTTCTCTAAATCATCTTGTTTAATTATTTATTCGGACTTTTATTATTAGATAAAATAAGCCTGAATATGTTTTAACCCATCTTAATAAATTAACAAGATGCCTTTTCACACAAATCCTATCATCATCACTAACTAATATCTGTAATATTCAAGGATTTATACCATTTATATGAAAATATTAATAAATCTCATTTGAATTATTAATATTTGTATTTACAATTATACGAGTATCCTAATATATGATTTAAATATAAAATTCACTAAACCCGTGTTCAAAAAAAAGGGTTCAAGTTTAGTACGGGTTCAGAAATTTTTTTAATCCAGGTTTTCGGCTCTGCGGTTTGAAACCCTGTATATTATAATATTCTAAATTATATTCTATGATTTCAAAACAATCTAACTATATTCTCCAAATCATATTCTAAGAATTCTAATATAATTATTATTCGCGTTTTTTTCTGTATAATGCTGGACAACTTCGAATAGCATGATAATGATTACAATAATAGCACGGTCTTCTCGTATTATTATTATCTTAGCGCATTTATTATCATTCGATTATCAAATTATTACATTATACAGTTTCTTTTATTAACATTTTCATATGGCACATCTGCCCATAATGCGGATTTAATATATCATTTTCCTATTGTATATCTGCCCATAATGCGACATCTATTTTCTCGGAAATAATAGAATAATTTTTTTAATATCACGTCTGTTTGCAGAATATTTTTTATGTCTAAATATAGTCTGATGCTTCTTCTTTTCAAAATTTGTTTGCGGGTATCGTTGTTATGTCACCCGTTATTTCTAAAATTTGTACATATTTATTTTTAAATAACAAAATTCTAGCTATTCGTCAATTCGATAAATTATTCTTGATAAGAAATTATGTTTAACATTACCTAATTTAATAATACCTCAATTGTTTCTTTTTCCATTCATAACTATCAAGGACGAGTCTCAAATTGTTTTATGGAATAGAAGTAACCTTTAAAAACTATCTGTCAATAAAAAGATTTTCAAAAATATTTTTCCCACTTTAAAAAAAAAGCTATTAGTTTAGTATTCATTTTTTTCATGTACCCACACAACAGCATACTTAGGGCTAAAAAGTGTTTCTGTTTCGTTCCGCACCGGGCTTTGGAACTTTCCTATAAAAATATCTAATTTGATATATTTTTTAAATCACCTTATTTTATTTAGTAATCTTTATTTAACCATTAATATGTATCAATTATTAAATCGATGCAATAAGATAAATTTATATTTTTCCCAAATTATTTTTGCCTTTTATTTAACAGTTATTAACAGTGGCGTAGCCAAGATCGATCCATGGGGGGGGGGGGGGGGTTAAAAATATTTTTGTTGCCATCAAACCGCATTTTAAAAATTTGCCAATTTTGTGCTTTATTGGTGTTTAACCACTATAATAGCCAGTATAAATGGGAAAAATATTAGTAACAAAATTTTGGCCAAATTTATGATTAATACGCGACTGAAAGCATTATTTGAAAATTTTATCAATGTTTATTCAATTGTAAATTAATTCAATCCATTCGGTGTAGAAAGAAGAATAAAATCGCCCCTAAAACCTCCCATTTTTTATGAT